TGGGGGCTGGGGGGAAGAGCGGTCCAGATGGGGAAAGTCAGTGTAAAGGCCCTGAGGAGGCTGGTGTGGAGGCAGCGGAGTGAACGAGGGGCCCAGTGATGGAGATGACAGGGGGCCATTGTGGCTGGAGCCAAGTGGGGAGGGGGAGGTGGTCAGAGAGGAGATCGGTGGAGGAAGACAGGAGAGCCCCACGAGGCCTTGGGAGGACAGCTCTTTAAAAAATTTTAAATATGTATGAGAGGGAGGAGGGAGAGGCAAGTCCAGGGTCAGGGACTTGTGTATGAGCCTGGAGCTGACAGACAAGGGAAAGGTGGTGTGTGTGGTGGAGGGAATACCAGGGAGCGGGCCTGCTGGGAGCAAGGTCTGGACACCCGGGCAATCCTGGGCTGGGGGGACGGACAGGAGAAAGAACCTGCTCCGATCCAATCCTATCCTCTGCTCCACAAACACCCCCTGAGCCCTGCTCTGCTCCAGGCCCTGTGCTGGCTGATGCTGGGGATTCAGTGGTGACCAGAAGCCCTTCCCGGACCTCACCCACCACTTACTCCCCTGCCCAGTGCAGGCGCAGCCAGAGCCACCAAAGACAGTGACAGCCCAGAGGGCTCAGGGCAGGGATGTGGAGGCCCAGAGCGATCAGGGCAGGGACGTGAGCTATGGGACCCCAGAGGAGGAGCTTGATGCTGCTTGCTGGGGGGCTGAATATCTGAGAGGACTTCCTGAAGGAGGCGTGTATCGGAGTAGGAACACTCCGGGCTGAGAGAGGACGTGGTGTTCTGGGCAGAGAGAACATCAGGTGCAAAGAAGGCAAAGGCAAAGCCCAAGGTCAAGTAGGGGTGGGGTGGGGAGCAGGGGATGAGGTGCAGCCTGTGCAGGCCACCAGGCGGCTGGGGACAACGGGGGCCCTGGGGAGGGGTAACCAGGAGGTCATGGTCACTAGGGCCCAGTAACCGAGGTAAGGGGTTTCACAAGGACTGGCTTTTAAAAGCCTCTGTTGGATGATTCCTCATCGGAGGTGATTTCTGAACTCCAGAAATCGCCCCCGATATGGAGCATCAAGAAATTGACTCCATATGGGGCTGGCAAAAATGCTTTGCTGCACAGAAATATTCTCTAGTGTCTATTAGCAGAAATCCTGCAGCGTTTAAAGGAATAATAATACAGTAGTTATGCTGTGCCAGACACTGTCCTAAGCTCTCTACATATAACATCTTCACACGACCTTATAGGGTCAGGGCTATCATAGTCCCCATTTGACAGATAAGGAAACTGAAGGCCAGAGAAGTGAAGGGAGCTGCCCGTGGCCTCACGACTGGGATGAGGCTAGAGAGGTGGGACCAGAGAGGTGGGACCAGGCACCCCTGGTGTCTGCCTTCCCTGGCGAGTCGGAGGGAGGGGTATGACCCTGAGGTGGGGCTCCCGGGGCAGCCCAGGCTCAGAGGCGGCCTCCCCCGGGCTTCCACCTGAACAACCAGCTGAGCCAGGCCCTCACTAGCCGCTACCGGGACAGCCGTCTGCGCGTGGACTTCAAGCACTTCGCGTCCTGCATGGCCCAGCTCATCTGCATCTTCCATGAGTGTCATCCCTGGCACTGGTGGGACAGAGGGAGGATGTCTCCATGGCAGGTGGACCAGGGAGGTGGGCGCTCACCCTGCCCCTCTCTGACAGGCCACTGCAGCCAGCACCTGGATGGGGGCGAGGGGGTCGTCTGCCTGACCCACAGACAGGTGAGCCTGGGCTGCAGGGAGGGGCGGCACAGGAGTGTCAGGAGTCCCCCGCCTCATGCCTGCTGTTTCCTCTCGCCCGGTGGATGGAGGTGGCCATCTTCTAGGACCTCAGCCTGGAAGCCCTGCCTTTCCCTTCTCCCAGCCCACACCAGGGGTTCCTCTACAGGAAGGGGGCTGATGCCCTGACGTTAAGCAGTGATTCAGAGCGTGGCCTTGGGAGCCAGCCCGCCTGGAGCTGACTTCCGGCCCCACCACTCACCAGCTGGGTGACGCTGGGCAAGTCTCTCTGGTAAAGGGGCATGGTAACAGCACCTTTCTCGTGCAGGCTGCATGAGTTAGCCCACATTACATGCTTAGAACAGTGCATGGCCTGGAGTGGGTCCCCAACAGCACTCCTACTTTCACACACTAATGGGAACAGGGATTGGGGCACTCCTATGCCCCACCTCACTCTGGGAAGAGGTGCTCTATTATCGCTCTCCTAAGAGGTGGAGAACAGATAGAAAAACAGAGGACACTGTAGGAATCCTTCTTAAAAATATTACATGTTTTATTATCCTGTCCCCAGAAGGGTGGTTTATCCAGAAACCGAGAAAAAAAGAATCAATCGGAATAAACTCAAAAAAAGGGGGGGGGGG